TAGCGAATATTTGTTTTTTTTTTGTATGGTTTTGTGCGATTTTTTCTCACTTTGTTTTTGTTTTACTGCAGTTGTTGTTGTTACAGTCTCTCTTGTGGCGTCGCAGCTAAGTGCACATTTTAGCCGTTAATGCGACATGCAACGCGAAGGGTGAGGGGCGAGCATAGAGGAGCTTTGCTGAACTGGTTGCGGCGCTGAGCTGGTGCTGAGCGACTGCTCGCTGTCGCGTTGGAGGTGTTCGACTGCCACGAAATCTGTTTTAATTTGATTTGTTGCGCTGTGGTGTGACATTCACAAGTCAACAACGAATGACACGTCAGAGATTTACGTTATATGTCTTGTTATTGTTTTTCTTTTTCAAAGATTTTAATTCGCTGATAAGGTCAATAGCAGTTTGTTTAAGTGTAAAAGTGTGTGTGTGTGTGTGTGTGTGTGTGTGAGTGGCATGAAGCGATGGAATCAATGAACTGCAATAATAATTGGAAACTTGGCTGGAAATGGTTTTACATTACATAAAAGTAGTTAATTTACATGGAAAACGTATATATATTTATGAGAGCTTTTTTCTAAAATGTTTATTATTTATAAAGCAAAATACTCAGTGCGACAAACTGCCGCTCATGGCGCAGTTCAATTAGGCAATGAATTTTCATAACAAAACTTAAGTTTTTTTTTGCAAATATTTTCATTTATTTTTATTAGTTTCTTTCAATATATATTATTGCTAGTTTTAAAAAATATTTTAACGAAAAAATTGCGTTTATATACATTTATATGTTTAATTTATGTATTGAATATTTTCAATGAGTAAATAATTATAAATAAAACAACAAAAAATAAAAAACAGGAGAAGAAATTCAAAATTTTATACACAATTTTTTTTTTTTGGAAAAACCGCGAGAAAAAGTGGCACTTCTGAAATAAATTTCAAATTTGAAGGAAATTTTCTTTATTCTCAATTTTTCCAGTTGGTTTAAACAAACATGAGGAGAAACTATCAGGTACCTAAAACTCTCCAGTCATTCCCTGTCAAGTTAGCGTCAATGTCAACCGCACTTGAAGTACTCCGCCTGTCACACAAATTTACATACATGTGCACACACAGAGGCATATCTATTTGCATGCACATAAGAAGTCATAACTTTGTGGCAACACTTAAGCAGCACAAGTATGAGTGAAGTGTGCAACAAAGTGCAGAATAGAACGGCGAAAGAGTCGAACCAACAACATGTGCATTTCCATTCCTAGTCAATAGTGAGCACACATATCGTTATGTTTTTTTGTTTTTGTTTTTTTTTTTGGAAAATATTTATTGGTTGTGGGCGTAGGCTTCCTAATTGAATTAGTATGCCACAAGTTACTTAGTTGTTTGATAGCCTCAGAGACTTCAGTGACTAGCATTAAATAAATAACAAACAACAACAACAACCACTCGCAGAACTAGCGTCGCGGTCGTCTCAGCGAGTCAACGAGGTAGTCAAACATATGCCTGTATGTATGTATGTAGGTTTGTAAAGACACAATAGTTAGCCCAGTTGTATAAGCGAGGCTCACCTCAGCAACAACAAGTTACAACAAAACTCTGTACTCAATTCCTACATAGTTCTTTCTGAGGGAGAGAGTGGTGCAAAGGGTTAATCGTAGACTCGCTCATACGTTGAACATGTTTGCTATGTTGCAACGTGTGGGTGTTGCAAGCTCTTTACATTTTTTTTTTAATTTTTTTTTTACTCTTATCTCCATGCTTTTTTGTTGCTTAACGATATTTATTGCGCGACTGTTGTGAGATCGATGTGTTTAGGCAGTCTTGGCTGGTTGGCTCAGAAGACAGGCAATGATATGGCAGGGTGGTGTTGCAAGCTAACTGCCCCTCGTTGTAATGAAGTCTTTCCTTTCGAGTAGGGTGCGACTTACTGTAACGTACAGGGTTTAGGCAAGTCTTGAGGCAGTGATACAGTGAAAAAAATAAAAACTCAGAGAAAAATAGAAAATAAAATAAAATAAATGCAAAATAAAAAAATTAAAATAAATAAAACAAATTTAACAAAAAATAAATAAAATAAAATATAAAATTGAATAAATTTAAATTAATTTAATAAACTAAAACAAACTAATATATATATAATGAAATAAAATAATGTAAGTAAATAATGAAAAAATGAAATAATACAATAAAAAATTAATAAATAAATAAAAAAAATAAAAAAATAAAATAAAATTGAAATACAAATAAACAAAATTAAATTGTATTTAACTTACAAATACATAGCATTAAATTAAGTTATATTAATGAAAAAACAGAAAGCAAAATTAAAAACGATGGGAAAAAACCAAAATTTTCTTAAACATAACAACACATAGTTAAAAACAAAAATAATAATGAAAAAATTATATAAAAAAGACTCAAATTATATAACAAAAAAAGAAAAAATAATAATATGAAAGATATAGAAAAAATCAAATTTAATTCAATAAATAGAAGTTGAATGATACTCAAAAAAATAATATTATATAAACAGCAAAAAAAAAATTAAGTAAACATTTAAAAATAATCTAAAAAAATAAAATACAGTTTGGGTTAAATTTTTTAAAAATATATAAATAAGATAAACCGAAAATAAATTAAAAACAAAATAAAAAACGTAATGAAATAAAACATTAAAATATAATGAAACAAAATGAAATAAAGCATTTAAAAATACATAAAAATTTGTAACATAATCATTTAAATAAAATAAAATATTATAAATGACATTTGCCAAAATAAATGAACAAAAAACTAAAAAAAAAAACAAAATAAATTTGGGAAAAATGCTAAGCAAATTAATTTCAAGGCAAAACAAAAAATTAATAAAATTAAAAAAAATTAATTAAAAATTAAAATTAAATTAAAAAAATAACATCATAATATATAGAAATAGAAGATATATATAAAAGACAACTCAAAAAAAAAAAAAAAATAAAATCAAATTAAAATTAATAAATTATTATAATAGTTTTTTGTTAGTGTACCAGCTTTCTTTCGCTTAATATACATACTCGTATATTTATTTACATATCTGCACAAACTACTTAATTTGCATGTTAACCTCATAACCTCAGGCGAAAACTTGGTTAAAACGCCCTAAATAATAAAACCTAAAATAAGTGAGAAATTTTCAGTTAAAATACAACAAAAGAACCTGACCCAGTCTGAAATAACGAGAAACAATGGCGACAATATGACTGAACTTGTATAGAGAAAGTAATTTCAAGCGACTCTGCATTTGCAGCTTTGAGGAAGCGCTAGGCTTAAAATGCGCCATCTATAATAATATATACACATATATTTATATATATTTGTATATAAATACAACTATTGTTGTTGCATGTCACGAAAATTTGAAGCTGAAAATCACTCTTCTCTTCGTGTTGCCACCTCCTTTTAATTTCGCTACATGACAAAGACAAGCTAATTACCTGCAGACAGCAGCGAAAGACGACAACACCTCAAAGGGACAGCTGAAAAATCGCTTAAATCAATAAATTGTTTCTGCTTTTTCATAGCCTCCGCTGACTCATTAAAGTTTTTCACTTTTTCCTTTTTGACAATGTCTCATTCCACTGCCGCCAGGCGTTGAAGGGTTAATGTAGTATATATGCAACCGTTAGCACCGAAAAAGGGTACCAAAAATACGCACAAAAAATACTTCGGATTAAAAAAAATAATAATTTATGACTGCATAAAGGGTGTAACTGCAATACGGTTGCAGAAGCTTCTGCTGCTCCACTCAACGCTGCAGAGCATACAAACGGCTTGGGATAACTTACGAGTATATGGCAGCCGCATGCCAACACTAGTGTTTTCTGTAGTCTATTGCAGCGGTTGTTTTTGTTGTTGATCACTTTCCAAACCCCAGCCGAGCTAAGGCAACACTTTGGACTATTCAATTTTATTTATCGCTCTTATTTTGTTGTGAATAAAGTAATAAAGAAAGCTAGTAGCTAGCCAACACGCGGTAGCTGACTACTAGAGACATTAAATGTATTGTATTTGCACTTTCAGGCATACAAACAAACACATTTACGCTACTCGAAGCGTGTGGTAGAGAAGTTCTAGCAAAATACGAAACTGTTGACCGCGTCGCAACGATCGATTCAGCGTTTTCGATTTTAGTTGTTGCTACTAGATGTTGGCGTTGTTGTTGGCGTTGTTTTATTGCTTCTTGTGGCAGTAATTAAAACCGCCCTCTTGGTTAAGCGAAAGCGGAAGTCGTTTATTGATTGTTTTTTGCCCTCACACGCCAAAAGGGCGGACAAATTTATATAGGAAAATAGCATGCGCACACACGCACACACAGATACATGTAGGTGTGTATGTATAGAAGATTACACAAATTTCATATGCAAGTGTTGCAGTTACAATTTACTACTGTTTCTCGTTTTTATTGTAACATTTTCGTAAATTTTTGTATTAATTTTTTATTTAATTTTTAGTTTTTTTTCTCTCCTCATGCACGACCAATATTTGCTAAGAACCGCTGAATCGAATAAATTTAAGTTTGAGACTTGTATGCAGACGGCGCCCGGGACATTGGCCTTCACGTGGAGGGCGTGTCTGCGGCACTGCTGCTGCTGCTTAGCTTTTGTTTACCTTGATTTAATTGTTTTTTAAACGTTTTCAGCAACGGACGCTACGGACGCTACGAGTGAAGTGCAGCAGACGCAGACATGCACAAATAATTCTATTGTCCACTGTCCCATTAAATGTTTATACAAAACATAAATAGAGCAAGACCGGCGAGTGCTCTGAACTTGAAAATCGATAGCAAATAAAATTAATTGCAGACCGCTGCTTTAATTCACGGTGTTTTTGCTTTCAAACTGAAGAAACAGCATTTTTTTTTTTTGTTTTATGCTCTTAGACTTAAATATGTACTTCTCCTCTTTTTTCAAATTCACTCAATTTATTTTTGTCTTTCTAATTCTATTTTTATAACTGCTTTTTTACTTTCACTTACCTGTGTTTGCGTTAGGCCCAGACTCGCCGCTAATTCGGCTCGCTCTGGCAGCGCTAAATACTGTGTACGCTGGAATCGTCGATTTAGTTGTTGTAATTGCAGTGAACTATATATTGTACGCGGTTTGCGCATTTTCTTGCCTTTGCCATTCACGCGTAAGCCGGAATCTTCACATTTGTCCGATATGGAGAAATCTGAAAGCCGAAAATATGGATTTAGAATAATTTTCTTTCAAAAGATTTGTGCGTTAAAAAAAGTCTGTTGTAAAAAAATTTAAAAATTAATCATAATAAATTATAAAAAACCATATTTCCACAGGAAATCAGAGAAAATTTAATTACTGTAAAAAAATTTAAAACATTTTCATAAATTTTTGTATTTTATTTGAGATCTCGATAGCTTGAAGAGTTTATTAAGCAATAAATAATCCATCCTAAAATCTATAAGATATTATGGCGTAATAAACAGTGTAAGAAATCCTCATATTGAACCCCCGTTCAGGCTATCTGACCATCTGCGAAAATGAAGGCAGCAAACCAACTGACCGCCAGGCCCAAAAACCCACAACAAGAAATCAGGAAAAATTTACGTTCCAATCATATAGTAGTTTTGATAGGGCACTGTGATAGAAAGAAAAGCAGGGAGTCTAGTGGATCCCTGTAGGAAATGAGGTGTAAGCTGCAAAGATTTTTAGAAGGAGAAAACGAGCACCCGTTATTTATGCGACTGCCCTGCTTTGGGCAGTGCTAAGAGTCTGAAATCCGGGCTCTTATTGCTGGTTGATCTATCCAAGATGGCGGACATCAAAGACTTGGCTCCAACGATATTCACTAGAGAGACGAAGCGGTTAGTTAGTTGCAGTGAACTGTATATTGTAGTTAGCGAAAACTAAAGATCAGGATTTTGTGGCTTCACAACGGTTCTTATGCGAAAAGTGAACTAGGCGCAATCGATGTAAGAATGTCAGTCGCCACAACCTAACCTAATAGTGGTTACTTTTAAGCCCCGTGCGACAAATGCACATATAAAGAATTCCTGGGATGTGAGTGAAAAAACAAAGTTTTTCCTACTATTAAAAAAATATAAATATACATAAAAAAATTTGCTTTATAGAAAAAATTTTAAAAAATATCTTTTTTTTTAGTTTTTAACCGAAATAAATTCTAATTTTAATGTTAAAATGTCTTATTTTCGAATGCAGTTGGAAAACAGTGTTTGAAAGAAATAATAATAATCATTGCAGCGCATTTACCGTTAAATTTTCATAACAGTCTTAAATCCTTAACCTATTTAGTTGTTATAGAACGGCACATTTTTTCCTCACATACACATGCAACATACACTACGTACATACATATGTATATAAAAATGCATGTATCAATTACAACAATAAGAAAATACAGTTAGCAGCTAAATGGATTCACTATAATTGCATTCATTAAAAATCAAAGTTCAAAGCACTCGAAATGTAAACAAACGCACACATACATATACGTGTACACAGACAAATACATGCACTTAGTAATTGCCTAGTTTATTTATATCTTGTATTTTAGGTTTTTGTCGCTGTTGTTGTTGCTTTTGTAATTTTTTAACAATTTAGTGTGCGTGGCATTAACACTTAGATATCAAACTAAAAATTGCAAAATAATTTATTACTTGTCAATTACACACATACACATATGTAAATATGTATATGTATATGTAAATATCTATATATGTATGTATATCAAAGCTAAGTTAAGTGGCTGGCTCTTCATACTTTGAATTTATTGTACATGTATATGTGTATATGTATGTGGTGTATATGTGAAGTCACCGCCAATAGTTGTAATTAACCGTTAGAGCAATATGTAAAAGTATTATTAAACAAATCGACAACCACTTAACGATTAGATGATTAGTCAAATTGGCGGTAGAGAGGCATGCAGTGCGAATACCTGTGGATATACATATACATACATAAGTGTGTACTTGCATGTGCACATATATATGTAGGAATGTAAATAAATTACAATTTGCAAACGGTTTGTTTGAAAGACCATTTTTAGTCATGTTGACAAAGATACAGCGAAATATATGTACGAGTATACATATATGTATGTATGTATGCATGTTTCTGCTCAGAATACTTTTGAAGAATTTTCCTTCTGTTTTATTGACTTTCGAATATTTATTGCGTTTGTATGTATTAGTATATATTTTATTTAAACATAGACACATACATACATATTTGGCCTTCACAATGTCACAGCACTTTGGTCTTTTTCGCTTTTGCCATTCAATTGCGGAGTGAAATAATAATTAATTGTGGCTAACAAAAATTTAATTACAGTTATTATGATTACATACATGCCAATGCAAGTGTATGCGTATTAAATTTTCATGTGGTACTATATACATATGTACAAACACATTTGGCTCAGAAACATTAAACGCTGTTAAAAACACAATATTAATTTTGTTTGTTTATTTATTTTATTTTAATGTTGGAATAGGCAAAAAAACTCTTTTTTTCGATATTATCGAATTTTTCATAATCTAAAGTTAAAACCGATTTATAAAAAAATATTTATTATTATATAGTTTATTAGTCGAAAGAGAATAATAGTTATAAACATAAATTAAATTACTTTTGTCAAAAATTTAAAATACTTATTTTTACTTCGAATAAATTCAATTTATATATAAATAAAGACCAAAAGGCTTTTCTTTTGGTAGCAAAGAAAACATTCTTTCTCAACATTCTTACAATTTTATATACTTTTTTACTCAAAAAAAGCAAATTATATATTTCAGCCAAAGTGTGGACTTTTTATATACGAATTTAAAATTATATAATTTATTAGTTAGAAGAAAAATTAAGTTATTTATAAATAATTTGTAACTTTTATTAAAAAAAATTTAAATATTTATTTTTATTTAAATTAAAAAATAATAATTTTTTCCTAAGCTAAGCTTGATTTTGAGGTAAAAAAAAACAATTTTTACTTGATAACGTACAATTTTAAACATTTTTTCTAAGTAAAACGTTTTGACGGAAAATCGCAAAATTATAAAAAATATTTAAATTTGCTTATTTTCTTACTTAAATAAACACCATTGATGGAATGTATAAAAAACTCTAATTCAGTTTTGTTAATATTATTGATAAGTTTTAGATCTTGTTTAATAGACAAGATTTTCACTAACAGATCGTTAAAAATAAATGAGTTTTATTTTATTTACAAATAATAAAATATTTAAATTTTATTCCTAAATTTTTGTACTTTATACTTTTAATGAATATTTTTTCTGTTTATTTAACCATTTATTTTTTTCAAAATATTTAATTTTATATAATTTCATTCTAATTTATGCGGAAAACTGGTTTCACACACATTCAAATACGACCAGTTGTAGGCATATTCATATGCATATGTCTGTATGTTTGTACATAAATACAATATTATCAAATAAATCAAACTACCCACAATAACAACAACGACAACAACAACCACAACTTGTTTAACAACAACAAAACATAATTCAAACATAAGTTGAAACACCTGAAAGCCCACGAAAAATTAGTAGCTGACACTTTTATGTATGTATTGACAGCAGCCCACTGTGTCGCACGCAGCAGGGTGTCCATTTACCGAAAAATGTGCAACATGGGCAATAATTCACTATATAAACAGCAGCAGCAGCAGCAGCAAGAACAACCACAATTCGAAGGTAGTTAAAACGGTTAATATCAAAGAATATCATTCATACATACAACAAAAAAAAAACACATATATATGACGTTTGGTTTATATGTTGTTGTTTTAAGTCATAAATTCCAGCTTAATTGCGCTTCTAATGCGCAATGAGTGGCAAAAGAAATTATGATTTGAGTGAAAAGAATTTTAGGAATTCAAATGATATGACACATTTTTGGTTGTGTTAATTTGCTAGTGTTATTAATTAATAAATAGTTACTAGTAGATTGTGAATGTTTGCACATATATACAAACATTTATATATGTACATAAGGTATTTGTATATGCGGGTACCTGTGTGATCACGGAATGATAGGAAAAAATTTTGATTTTGGAATAAAAAATCAAATGAGCCAGAAATACGAGATAAGTGCAAAAAATTAGGAGAATTTGTTATTGTTATTGGGTATGATAAGCTTTCCGCTGTTCTCACTATTGGCTTCGTGCGTGGCAGCTATTAAGGTTATAAGCTGGGCGATTTTAGCTTTTTTTTTACCAACTAGCATAAGCTCTTATTAACGTTTCGAGCTAATAGAACTTGGTTCCAGGCCGCTGGTCTGTTGCCAGGAAGCAAAGGTGTTCTCTATTTAGGTATACAATCCAAAAATTTTAGTAAAACGAACATTGAATATGCACATATATAATATGATTTTCCTTAAAAAGCACATAAGTACCGGATTTCAGGTAAATCGAACCATAAATGCGATTTTCTCAAACAAGTCAATTCCTAGTCGACTTTCCGGAGGTAAAAGTAGCCTTCCTGCTAATCTAAGTAAATCGAACCATTAATAACATTTCGAATAGATTAGACACTCGCTTCTGGCCACTTTCTTCGTATAAACCTTTCCAGGAACCATAGAGACAGTCTGACAGTAACTTTTCGGGATATGCGGATCTTTACCAACGATCGTACGATTTATAAATACATATTAGGTCTGCCGAAAAGTTCTGTCCGAATCTATGACACCATTTTCGCCACGTAAGCAAATAACCATTATTTTCATTTTTTCAAAAAGTATTTATTTATTCATCAATATCTATCTTTTCCCCTTCAAAGTAATCCCTCTCAGACATAATACAGTTATATCGGCGTTTTTTTTTTTCGTTTTTTTGGTATTGCTAACAGCTCCTGTTTCGATTTTTCATTTATTTCCTCAATCATAGCAAAACGCTTTGCTTTCATCGGTGTCTTCAGTTTTGGGAAGAAGAAATCGTCAGCTGGGGCCAAGTTCGGTGAATACGACGGTCGAGGCATGATAACGGTATAGTTTTTGGCCAAAAACTCACGCACAAGCATCGATGTTTCAGCTGGTGCATTATCATGGTGTAAAATACATTCAGCACGTTTCCTGCCTGAAACATCCGTAAAAATTGCTTGACATGAGCCAAAGGATATGAGAACATCATCAACAACCTCTCTGAATGTGTTTCGACGATTATCCAAAATCATT